GGATCCACTACAGCTGCTGGACTGGGGGGACGTAACACACAGCGCTATTAGCTACTGCGACAGGTCCCTCCCTAACTGCCTGTTCTTACAGGAAATACAAACAGCTGCTTCCTGTTTCACCCAGACTTTAAGAACAAAGATTAGCTGACGCCTCGTTAGGCGCCATTGAGCTGTCACAGCAGCAACAGCCAATCACCTTACGGCTCAGTCAGGCTCCTGTTTGTGTCCAAATGTGCACATGCCTGTTTACAAATCTGATAGCTGTCTGTCTGCTCTCTCTGCAGTAAGACAGGAAGTCAGCTGTCTCGCCATCCTTGGAGCGTCTCCATGAAGGACAGACAGAACTCCAGAGGGACAGACAGAACCAGCAGCTTGGACAGCGAGACGTCGTCTGATTACAGGATGCCTCCCCCACAGGTGAGACAGACACCAGACTGTGATTTTAGCTCTCAGAACACAGAGTTTCTGCTCTGCTGCTGCCTCCGTCTGTTATTGTGTCACTTTAGTGCTTTGACATGTTAATTTGGAGTGAACTGATGTCAGTCGCTGTTGATCGGGACAGCGGAAACGTTTGTGTTCTTTAAGGTAAAATTACTGTTTTTATCAGTGGAGTCTGGTGGCTTTGAAGAGAGCATAGACGGATATATCAGCTTCAGTGTAAAATAGTTTTGCTGCTGCTTCATCCACAGAAGTAGTCACAAGCTGTTTTTTCCAGCATTTAGGGACAATTTCTTGCATTTTTCACCTTACAAACAAAAGCTTTTTGATTAAAACTCCTCCTGTTTTCTCGGTTTGAGTTTGTGACAGTGTAGAAAACCACTTCCTGCTCCCCATCTGCAGTCCGTCCGACAGGAGCAGTTAACATAGATGTTTGTTTAAACTCTGACTGACCTCTCGTATGTTGTCTTCAGAAGAGGGTTAGGGCCACATGAAAAAGGTATTTAGATTTAAAGTTTAATTAAATAGTTAAATAGGAGAACCTGGGTACTGTGGACCGTCCTAACTTCCTCAAAGGGCTGTTTGAGGGTTTAAAATCGGTTTTAAAATGAGAATTAGGTTTAGGTTCTGGTTTGGGTTTTTGTGTTCTGACGTGTGTTTGTGTGTTTCTTTAGGTTGCCAGGAAGTCGGTCCTGGATCAGCTGAACCACATCCTGTTCTCTGATGATCTGATTCCTGATTCTATAATCCTGATCAACACCACAGACTGGCAGGGACAGGTCTGTCTGTCTGTCTGTCTGCCTGTCTGGTCCGCTTAAAGACACAGAGAGTCTGCGGGAGCTTTTACAGTCACACAAAGTTTCTGTGTGCTACCTGTTTGTAGTTAAGCTAAAGGCTGTTTTCTAGCTATATGGTGGAAATGGAGGTGGGCCGCCCTCCTCTGATTCGAGTTAACTCTGTTTTTATAGAAATGTCCCAAACTTTCCACTCTGTGTCAGCACTGGACTCACTTACAACTGTTGAGTTGAGACTTTTTAAACCCATTAAACTTTGGTAACAATGTGAATATTTACAGCAGCAGTGAAGTGTTTATTAAAGTCATATAATTCAGTTTACAGCTCAAATAACATGTTTTAATGCGGAGTTCCTCTTTAAATCTGATTGACATAATTAGTGTATTTTCTCTGGGATTGTCCAGCAGTCTGTTGATCAGCAGGTTGTTTCATGGACAGACATAATAAACTATGATGGAAGGTAATCGAGTGTCTCTCGCCCTCCTCTCTCTCTACAGTATCTGTCGGAGCTCCTGTTTGATCAGCCAATTGTCTGCACCGTCTCAGCAGCTGATGTCCAGGCTGCCTTCAGCGCCATTATCAGCCGGATCCAGAGATTGTAAGAAGATTGTTGTTTCAGTATGATAAGCAGCCATTTGGAGCAGCTATGTGATGGCTTAAATGTAGCTCAGTTAGTTTGGACTCAACTGAATCAACTAAAAAAAGGGCAGCAAAGTCTTAAACCTTCTTTCTCTCTAACAGCCAGCAGGG